GGCGCAAAGATCAAAATTTTTGTCAAGCAATTTTACTATCTGCTTGTTCTGATTTTTCTTTAAATCTTCAATCTTATAATCAACTATAGCCCGGCTTCCTTTTTCATAATAATAATCAAATAAATCTGATATAATCCAATTATCTTCTTCTTGTGTCGAAATAAGATCTGCGGCAGGTCCTCTACTATAGAATACTATTTCTTTATTTGATTGTTCAATATCCTTTTCTTTTTCTATCATAATCTCGTCCTATTCTGAATCTAATCTTTTTCAAACATTCCCTCTTTTATCATTAAACTCCAAAATCACATACAATTGTTTCTCCAATTCTTCTTCCTTAAACTTATTTTCAACTTTTTCTTTTTCGTCATCGTCATCAAGATCACTTACTCTTACAACTCGTTCTTTGTCTAATGGTATTTTCGATAGCTTCCGATACTCAACCAGAACAACAATTTCCTTATTATCCCAGACCAAAGTTATTTCAAACCTATTCCAATCGATAGCCATATTAACTTTAGCTAACCAGTCATTCTCTACGATAGCACAATACGAACTAGCATCAGTTACAACTACATCGATCAGGATTTCGACACCACCGATGCTAAATGAAAAGTCAGAGATTTCTCCGATAGCACATTTGCTTTTACCATGAATATTGACTATATTTACTACCAACGGTCATTCAATTCTTATACCAAGATCATTCAATAAATGGAAAGTAATAACACTTTCAGAAGAACCACTATTGATAATTAGAGGAATTACTCGATCATAGACCTTAGCGTCACAATATAAAGCCGTTGACTTTAGAGTAGATTGTATATTAACGTTTATTTAAACCTTTTTATGACTTATGACTCTTTTCTTTTGTAATAATCATGCTAATTCTTGCCTTATAGATGATGTGAATTGTAATAATTGTCCGATAGTTATATTGGCAGGCTTATCTCTTATGTTGGCTACTATCGAATATAGAGTTACCAAAGAAGAGATTTGAGATAAATTATACTTCACAATAAGATTGAAGATTTAAAGAAAAATCAGAACAAGCAGATAGTAAAATTGCTTGACAAAAATTTTGATCTTTGCGCC